TGCTTATGGCGTCAACCATGAGCCACTAGGCTCTGACGTGTCAATAAAATAGTGGAAAATGTCTCTAGTCAATTTGCCAGTGTATTTGTCTGCATTGACATTAAGCAGTATCGAATCACATCCGCCACGTCGCAGTGTTGATAAACGGATTATTACGATAACTACCACTAGTACTAGTACTACTGCAACTAATATTACTACTACTAAAAATACTACTGTTTTACTTGTATTACCACTAGTACCACTAGAACTACTACTAAATGTCTTATTCTCGAACTCATCGACGCACCCATACTGAGGCATGAGCAAAACTTAAAATTAATTCTTTTGCGCAACTGATAAGTCAAAATGCACGTAGTTGGTTGTGGCCAAAAGTTGTACAAGTTGAAGATACAGAAGAAGTACTCATTAGAAGCGAAATCGTAGCGTGGCGACGATGAACGGGATTCATGTGTGCGCAGAGTAAACAGGAAAATCCCTGACACCCGATGCTTGACAATTGGTAGTTACCTACTTTGAAACAACGGAACAAAGATACCGCCGTATGGTAACTTGGAACACTAGTTCCTTGTAGGTCACACAAGCTTCGACAAGCCCCGGCCGCTTTGTACCTTTGTAGGAACTTGTGCAACATGCATTAGCAAACCGTAGGTTGATCTTTCGTTGAAACCGCAGACGTTGAGAAAATGTAGGGTAACTGGACAAATAAAGATTATTGTTCCAGGATGTCCCTTACATAGTCACGTTTAAGAATCTTCGAGATACGTCAATAATTTTGGAATGTTACCGAAAATTTTTTAATGACTTTGGGATAACTCAATAGAAGTGCAACCTGAGACAGAGACGAAGACTATTGGTCTGCTATTCATCTTAAACATGAAACTCACATTCAACAGTGATAAATAAGACTGTGGACAACAGATCATCGCAAGCACCCAGTTTGTCGCTATACAGAGAATATTCGTTCAAGAGTTCCAACTGGACGGTAGTTTTTTGGTCCAGTATCAAAACCGATAGTCAGAGATTAAAAAGAGTCCTAGTGACATGAGCCTATACGATCCCCTCCAATAGACAACTTGCTGTACTTGGAAGCATTGCAACATAAGTATAGGCATATGCTGTGGATCCCCCAAAAACTATTTGCTACGAATAAGCGCTGAAATTAGTGATGACCGTCTCTGTGATCGCAGTTACAATAACCGACTTCTCAGTCCCCATATCCTAGCTAACTAGCAACTACTGCTTCGAGATAAACACGAAAAAGCGTCCTATCCCATCAAGTAAGACAGTAAACTAGTACTCCAAATTCAACTGGGCGAAAATATTCGTATTTACTAAAATAGACTGGCCACAAACAGACCATCTTCTTTGGGTACGATCAACAGGTTTAGCGCTATTCCCCATGAATAAGAAGCGGAGTACGGCTTACGGAAGATTCAAGATGTCCGTCTATCTGTAAGACTTTATGACTGCACAACTACGATGATCACCGCAGATAAATATGTGGCCGTAGGACGGACGCTTATTAATCAAGCAGTGGAAGTTGGGACAACTACCATGCAGTGCGAGGTGAGAAAAGTGGTGGTTGATGCCTACTAGCACATTGAGGACCTATTGCCGATCCGCGTTCTCTGAAATGGAACTCGGGCAGTGAATATACTTAAGAAAGCTGGAGGTAACGACACGCGATTCGGTATGCACGAGCAGGCGTGATGCCAGGCGTAGGTTAAGACAGTTTATGGTGATGCATGTAAGGGAGGACCTATAGTGAAAATCCCTACAGAAGGAAATAACGAACTGTTATGAAGAAATCTATCGATGAAAATCCATAACAAGGTTGAAAGCTACAGAAAAATAAACGAAACAGTAGACCGGGCGAAGGGCTATCCAACCGAATCAACAGGCATGCGCACAATTTGAAGACGTCGTACCACTCGATACTGGGAAGAATGGGTGACTAGTGTACCTGTCCACAGAAACGAGATGACTGCACTAACGTAGCCACCTACTGGCTCCAACCGCTTTGGCTCTTCGCTGAAGACGGGCATCCAGCCCCACCTCATGCTTTTATTACTCAGTCCGTAATCTCTTACTTTTCCCAACAAGAAAGGATGACTGAATTACACTGCGCGATGCAGCGCCTTAGCTTCGCAGTTGTCCTTGCTAACGTACACATTTGCCTCATCACTGTAAACCGGCGTTCACCGCCATCACCCTATTTGCATTAGTTCTCGTCTCTTAACAAGATAAGGCGACTGATACATCCTGCGCGATGCAGCGCCTTAGCCTCGTACCCGCTGGCGCTCATATAGGCTTTACATTATTAAATGCCTAATTGACTTGCTGTAAACGTGCCATCAGGCCCATCTCGTGCTTGCCATTACTCAGTCTACATTAGCTAACTTCCCATTTAAAGCTGGAACGACTTAATCCACATGCGTGACGCAGCGATTTGGTTGGCGGCATCCGGTTTCGGATTTGCCTGTCACTGTGGCAAGCCACAGGACGCCTGCGCCTACAGAGGGACCATGGATGGCTTGCGCTGCACCACCCACAGCTCCAACCACACACACCCCATATCCAGTGTAAACCCGAAGGAATAAGATCGGGAGGCATGCGGATGGGAACCACGTTTCATCAACGGAGCCGGCCCACACTCCTTCACAGGCAAACACAAGCACGCTGTATTTGGGGAATCAACCGCACACAAGGCGGTGGCTGGACCGTAGTCCGCTCCACACTGAGTGCATGGAACCGCTCTTTGAGCCTAGCACGACCACAAGAACCGTGCACCCCGTCCCCTCCAGCAACGACCAACTGTCTCCTGGAGCCAGTATGAATGATGTAGTGGGTAATAGACAGGTGGGCACCTTGTCAACATACACATCAAACGCAACCATATATATATATATATATATATATATATATATATATATATATATATATATATATATATATATATATATATATAAACATTTATGGCCAAGAAGATACACAGTAATGTCTCATCGGTCAATCTTTTGTTGTATGTTGTTCACTTTTCTTGAGCGCTTCCATTGTATTACCGTTTAGCTGTCTGTTGTCCGTTGTACTTTTTTCCCAGCGTTTCCGACATGTTGTCCGGCACATGTGGAATCTTACAATGACGGCAGATGATCATTAACCAGAGATTCCGATCCCCCCTCCCATGAGGCTCACGGTTCTCTCAACTGAATACGGCTGGGAATTCAGCGCGACTCAAGGAGATCTGATGCCATATTTTACGACGAGGGAGTGAAAATTGGACAAAGGTGACCATGGATAGTGACGCAAGCTATCGGTTCGAAGTCAAATCAATCCAACTGACCGAAATACAATTCGAATCACTGATTCAACATGTACTTGTGATAAATACCTATATCCAAATTTCCGTCTATCGACACCTTCGCATTCGCAAAACCATTTGCTATTTCAGTAGGTAAACAGCTATCACAATGACATCTGTCTTGGATCTCAGCGATCTACGCAGTTACATTGTCAAGATTAACATTTGACCAAACAGTAACTGTCGCATATTTGCTTGTATAAAACTGATCATGTTTATTTTGGTGTGCCTCGTGTAACATCGAGAATACACATTTAATTTTCTTAAGTGATAGAACGAGACTGAACGACAGCATATATTAAGCAGGTGAGTAATGCAAAGTTTCCAATGTCGGTAACTCATTGGAGAAGCTTAAAAAACCGCCTACACAACTGGACTGAAAATGTACCCTCACACGCGTCGCATCGTAAAAGCAAGAATTCAAGTGTACAATTACTTAGAACTGGATGGTAAGGCTGAGTTCACAATACCTCAGCCCAACAATGTGTAAGACAGTAAACTAGCATAAGAGGAAGTGTGGAACAAATACAAACCAGATTAATGCAATGGAGGAACAGATTTGTGACATCAAATTGTAAGAACCTGCACCAGATTAGTTAGCAGCAAATGAACGTGGGTAAGATGCGCCTTAGATATTTGCATTTCAAAAAGCTACGAGAGGGGGTACTTCCATCCAGACGCAGGCTTGCACTAAACTGCGAAGGCAATTAGTTAGACAGAAACCGACTGTGGCCAAGATACGTGAAGCACTCGAATTCGGTAGGAGTGCAAATTATAGTGTAAGGACACCCAGTATCCTCAATGGGCACAAAAAGGGATTCCCTTTTAGAAATGCACTGTAACGTCGAAATCAACCCGATTCGGAAGTCATTCTATCCGGGAGAATGTTGAAACGCAAAAGTAGACTGGGTTGAGTTATATAGTGTACTATGAAGGAGTGAATGTGACATATTGTGAATCACATTGCAAATTTGCAATTTTATGCTTTTTTCCTACTCGTCAGCATAGGTATATTTTTTTATTTACCTTCGTTATGTGCACAACTACGAGGATTATAAAGCCCAACCGTGACATTTGGTTACTCGCATCACTGTGCTTAACCGAAACACGGTTCTAGTAGTTCATAAGCACACACTTCATCATTGACATGCTGGCCGCTGTTGTCCGTCACACCGCTGATCGGGAATACAAAGCACCGTGATTGTTGCGGCTCACTATTGAGCAACATTGTGGCTACGTCTACAAAGCTTGCCGTAAGTCATTTATATACATTAAAATTTATTGTTATGGAACCAGGTTTACGATTTCCGATACAACGAGTTTTGCTCCTTTTGTCTTGAAAATCAAGCCGTGCGCGAGACTAGGTTCATAGAGTCCAATATTTCACCTACTGAAACTTACACATATGCTTCACAAAATTGCTTCGTTGAAGGGAGGTTTGTTTTTTGTATTTGATTCGGGATTATGAGCACTAGAAGAGGCTACATTTTTATGTAAAGGGCCATTGTTATAACAAAGAGATGCTGGATAACTTACGTTCGGTAATTTGAGCGTGAATATTACTGCTTCTGTAATCGATCACTGATTAGAAGTATGATCAAATTACAGATGAAAAAGCAGTAACAGTGAAAAAAATCCCAGATGTAAAAATGTATTTGGCCATCAAGTAGACATACTGCGAAAACAATGGATGGAAAACGGATGGAGCATGTTTTTTCAGCAGATAACAAGAGTATATCCAGTCGAATGCAAGATGAATCGGATCGACATGAACAGTACGATGGAGCGCAATGGAAAAGTTTCAGTTCTATTGAAGTCGAGTATCCAGAAGCCTGCTGATTGGCGCTCAAACTGTAACCAAAGCAACGCGACTTTGAGTTCAGCGAGTAAGTTGCCTTAATGCAGTGGTGCCGGGTATAAGCTTGCTCCGTTAAATCAAAGATCTGTACAAGGGGCAAGATACGGTGGTAGTGGGAGGGAACTTATGATAAAACAGGTCATAAATTGTTACAGCACAAGCGATTAATTGTTACTTCTTGGTAGAGACAGGAAGTTGTGTGAATAGATAAGTTGCTGAAGGATACCTCACGACGGACGAGAAGAGAAAGCCGCGACGACAGTTAGCAACAACCGATGTCTTTCACCAATGGCCAATTGCTGTTAAAGTTGTCGACATGCTCGGATTGGATCCAAATAGCTAGCTCTTTGGACAGATCTGAAAGTAGGATGAGTGGTGGGAAAATGGAAGACTTACATAGGGGGTCCAATTTCCATTGCGTACTCAGTAACCGCCGATTGTCAATTTTATGAGCCAACAAGGTAGAAACTAACCTGCGAACCTCGTTTCGTACTCTGAAATAATAATCGGGCATGAAAAATAGGAATTCATCATCATGCGTCTAGTTTTGAATCAAAACGAACAAGGTGCGTGCTGAGCGCACAAAGATAGCCATCCGACTAAAAGTCGGTAGTGTAAGCAGCAGCCCAAAAGCAGGAGGGTTCAAACAGAAAGGTATAATAGATAAATTAGCTTCAATACTATCTCAATGGAGTTCTCTGAAATATGAATAAGAGAAAAAAGCACAGGAATGGCAAACGAGGGTAAATACCGCGGAAATCCATAGTAACATATTTCGCTTGACATGTATACTCAGGTATGACCAGACGACACAAATTGAACTAGGGCTGCGCTTCTACAAGTAATCATGTCAGAGCTCGTCTAGGCAGTCTCAGCATTCCAATAGGGACTGAGTATAGGAGTAATGTGTCCTCTTCATACCACTTACAGGTCCGCAGTCTCGAAGGTGAAAGAATGCAGATGATAAAGGCATTGCAACTGAAGCGGTTGTCAGATGACCAGTGAACTCATGGTGACATTAGAGGAGTATTAGGAAGAACAGGTCATAACAAGGTGTGAAAATGTCGTCGGTCTAAGTAGTTGTGCAGTAAACGAATATAGATCATCAGGTGTCGGGATCCTACAAAGAGTTGTGAGACAGACATATGGTGTGCGTCTTCGTGTACAGCGCTACGTCTTTCAGCAGCAGTTATGCCGTTATTCGAAGATCGTGGACAACATCGGTCCCCACAAAACAATGCGCGTTGTTTAAAGGCAGTCTTACGACGCTGCGATACAACAAGTAGAGGCCACCAGACGTTAAGAATATGCTATCTACAGAACACACTGCTTGAGTGAATGAAAGCAAAACGCAGTCCGGAGGCGAGAGCCTTCAACTCATAACGCTGAACAACGAAGACACTTTAAAACATGGTATAGTGACAAATTGTAGCCAAAGCGGAGCAGAAAGTGTTGCAGGTGTAGTGAGCGTTTTGAAGCTGTAGCAAAAACTTACATGCCCCAGGAAACGGTCAAAAGGGAGGAGGAAAGCGTTCTTTTCATTCGTTTAGGAAACCAACTGGAGAATTCAGTGAACACCAATCCATCGATAAGCGATCGTGCGAACCAACGAACACTCCACATAAGGGCCTCTTCCGATCCAATTACACGAGCAACAGCTCGGCTGTGGATGGGGAACACAACGGAAAAAGCCGGCAGCTCCAATTCACCCTTATCATCGTCTGGAGCGGAACTGCACATACTAGTGTAGAACACACGCTTCGCGCCGGTTACAACGATATCTTGATGTGAGTCGTAGTGTGGTGACGGCGTGATTTGAGATGAAGAACCTGGCTTTGTGGAACAAGACATAGGTGCGTCATCTGTGTCCGAATTGCGATCGGCGCTACTTTCGGGTTTATGAACATCAGGAGATTTTTGTACGCTTTTTGCCTCATCAGTGAGGACAACGCTTTCGACCCTGTAGTTTTGCGGAGTCAAGAAGGGAATCCAACTGGGGTCAATCGCGCAGACCGCTGTTCAATGGAAGAGGTTAAGTAAAAAGCAAAAGTGAATGGCCATAAGCATGCATAGATATGAATGCGTATTGGATGATGTGAAAGACCACGGATGACTGTTAACATAGACGCCCGACTTCATTGATTTTTCGAGTCCCATACAATAATTAAGTGAGCATATGCGAGTCGCGCGGAGTAGCCAGGAGGATAAGAGAATTAGCAACAAACTAGAATAAATAACTGAGCTGCAATATCTAATGACCTAACGGAGCCGGTACATAGTCATCGAGTTTCCGGACCATGTGTTACCCATTTGTCCGCGGTGGTTCGACCTAATATGCTCATCAAAAAGAATGAACCGTAGAGTACATTTGGTGCAGTTTTGCGTTTGAAGACATACACTTGAGTTGCTGTATTTGCTATATCCACCTGGTGGTGTCGTTCAATACATAACCGATTTCCAGTTGAAAACTACGGAATAGACCAACTGAAAAGGTGGGTAGTCTCTTCACGGTCATCAAATAACTCATCGTTGGGCAAAAGCAAAAATTGGTACGTTAACAGAAGAAAGCGAAACCAATGCATAAGAGTGTACTTGGTAAGAGGATTCCAGCTGTAATGGGTCAATTCACAAGGGCTATTCTTCATTTGGTGGAATGATTAAAGAAGCAAGGAAATCGATATGCTGTTATCACTGCCCAGAGGTGCATAGAAGTACGCGAAACCTGTATGTTGATAATAAAAATGTAGCACAACCAGGACATCCGGTGTACTTCAAGCACAGCAGGTTGTCCGCGTTGTCTTAGGGTGCGACCAAAGAAATCGTGCAGAAGTACGTGGTGGGAAGCTACTGGGTTGCATGATGGCACGGATGGAAACTCAAGCAGCCCTACAGTCTAGCACTTTTCGTTCAAGATCACAGAGACGAGTGGGAGTATACGTCGGAGTATACATCAAAGAAAATAGGCATCAGTAGAAGGCTATTTTTGGTAATCTGACCTATGGTAAGCCGAGGATTTTGTAACAGCTGATGCATAATCAAGAGACTTGATTAAATGTGAGCTGTGATACTACCAATGTGTCAAACATGAGCAGGAAAATAATTATGGCCAAAAACCAAAGTTAATGGCTTGAAAGCCAAAAAAGTAAGGCAGTGGCAATACGGAAAGCCCTGAATTCAGTTTCACTTAAATAGATACCATCCCGGAAAGAGACGTAATTCAGTTAGTCTCTAACAATTTATCAAGAGAGCAAGAGTAGACCACAAGGTGGGCAATAGCATCGCTCTGAACAGAACTATGAGCAGTCCTGTCCTAACAAGAATTCTAACGAAAACTGAGATAACGCCAATTGATAACGATTAAGAAGAAACGTACAGACAGATAGAAGATAAGCACACTACATTTTGTAGCAAAGCAGTGTGATCGAGAGAAGTAACACAGAACCAAGCGAACTTACTTCGCAAAAAAGGTTTTGTAATTCGACTCAGTTCTAAAAACGCGACAAAGGGGCAATTTTCGCGTGCCAGAGGGGAAGTTGGATCAATGAACACGGGATCCCTAACTCCCGGTACCTACAGCGAAAAAGTGAGGACGCTTCTGCAAATGAGCATGAAATGGCTCTGCGATTTTGTTGAAGAGCAAAGGAATTCATTCAAAAATACCATTTAAAAAACTTCTCACAAAGCTCCAGGGATGGACAACGGGCGTCAAGAAATCTATAAAGCGGTTTGTGTCTCCAGATGGATTACAAGTTAAACGAATCGCACAAAGAGCATTAATATGGATTTATCAGGTACGCATACATAGGTGAAGTCCAAGGTTGTCGGACAATCGCATTTCTTTTTCATTTTATCGCATAAATCACAACGAAACGTTCCTTCCCTAAACTATACCACAATATAAGAAGTAAGGCTCAAAGAAGCTTATGGGTTTGTCCAACAATCGCGGGGCGATGCAGTCAAACCCGAAGAAACATACTTGAGCGATTCCATCCTTTTGCATGCTTCTTCCACTCACAAACTAAGAGACCACGTGCCAACCGACGAAGAGAAGCAGACGGTTGATCACGTAAAGCACCTCAGTCGCTTCACAATTAATGACGAGTGCGTGACTTTTCAAATCAGTTCACGCATTGAAAAAGCTACAACTATCTCTCGGAATCAGTGACACATTCGGCACCAGAATGGAATTTCACTGGAACTTAACACCCTTATATACCGGACCGCTATATAGACCGGACCACGATGAGGGACATTCAATTCTAAGACAGCAAGACTTGGGCTGTCAGGCCCGACTTTATTAGATGCTTTCGTTATCTAAATGAAAAAATGGCGTAATCAAAATAATGTCCGCAACGGTGATGTACGTAGGCGAGAACAGGAAACGCAAGCACTCTCCGTAGTCTCTGCTGAGTAAAGTGGACAAGTCAGATGCTATACTTGCTGGTGATTTTAATGCACGGGTCGGTCGCCTGCTTCCGGCTGAACGCTACTTTGGAACTCAGCACGCGGTTAACGAGAGACGCACAGATAATGGGGACCGGCTTCTCATATTGTGCGAGGATAACCACCTATTTCTCTCCGGCACCAAGTTCAGGCATAACAAGCGACGTTCCGTAACCTGGTGCTCTCCGTCGTCTACACAGTTATGGTCCTAGATAGACCACATCGTAATCAGTTTCCGTTGGCGCGCTGGTTAGCGCCAACATCTGCATGCAATTCGGTGGGCCCCGGACACAATTGCACCGTAAGACTGACGCGAACAGATTAGTTGAACCCTCTGTCCAACTGAGCTATCAAGCAGCACTATGGGATGCTCTCACCTGTAGTCGATCTCAGGATGGTGCGCAACATTTGGCCTGTTTACACGAAGCGATGCTTTCCTCTGGTCAATAGCTTTGTGGTCTCACCCAACACCCTTCGATAAGTTGGATTTTCGTCCGATCGCTGGAACTGTTTGACCGCCGTCGCAATGTGCTACCAGAGTCAGCTCATAAGCGACAACACAAAGAAAGCTTGCGTAATTTCCGCGAGACTTGGTGTTCATAGCGCGCCTTAGAGATGGAGACGGCTGCTCTCTCCGGCAATTTCCGCAAACCCTTCTAGCTCATTCGGTACACTGGCCGCAGAAGACCTGGTGTCAGCGAGACTATCTGAAGCGGATAGGTCACGAATCACTAACCTGCGAAGACGCGTAGAGCGTTTGGCCGAACATTTTCACTCCCAATTCCATCTCTATCCATTGTCCGCTAGTATGCCAAGTACACCCAGTTGTATGACCTGGGCCATTTCATTGGAGCCACCTAATGAAGCGGAGTTTTCATCGAGATTCGATTCTTTGAGCGATACAAGTCTCCCAGCTCGGCCAAACTTCTTCCGGAGATGTTCAAGTTTGGCGGTTCAGCACTTGCCAATCAGTTGACAGCGCTGTTTTCTAAGATATGACACGAAGAGAACATTCGATCCCCCGGCACTGAGTCAGTAATTCTCCCTCTTTTCAAGAAAAGTGCTCTCACATCTTGTGCTTGTTATAGGGGAATCAGTCACATGCCGGTTGCTTCCAAAGTGCTGGCATCAATTATGCTCCGCGGGATATCCCCGATCCGCGAATTGTTTTATCGAGAACAAGCTGTCTTTCGCTCCGGTCGAGGATGCGTGGACCAGATCTTCGAGATAAGCCAAATTCTTGAACACCGCCATCTCTACCACCAGCCAAGCATTGTCGCTTGTCTGGACACTCGAGACGCATTTGACTCGGTTGATTAAGTTGTTTGATGGTAATGTGTGCTAAGAAATGGAGTCCCCGGAAAGTTCACTGCTATCATTCGGGCGCCTTACTTCCAAGTGTCAGATAGAGTGAGGGTCCATGGCAAGCTTTCCTCACCCTTCGTTATCATTAGTGGTGTGCGACAAGGGTGCACTTTGTCACTATTCCTCTTCAACATTGCATTTGAGGACGTCCTGTTGAGATCCCTGGAAGGCTCTCAAAATCTTGGTGTTGAGCTTCTTCCTGGCAATCGCATAACCGACTTAGATTATGCTGATGATATCACTGTTCGGTGACGATTCACAGATTGTACAGCTCATTTTGAGCCGTCTGCCGATTGAAGCGTCTAAGTATAGTATGCGCTTTTCCCCCTCGAAGTGCAACTCCAGGACTGGAAGTCGTCTGTCCTCTCACTTACCATTGAACCAACACAGCTAGAGCTAATGGACGACTTTGTCTGCCTCAGAAGCTGATTTCTGCTGATGGCACTATTGGCAAAAGGTATACCTTCGCATCACCAGAGACCGGTCGGCATTTGCCAACCTGAACAATTTGTGGCGTCGTCGGGACATATACCTCATTTTATAGGGGAGGGTCTATAACGCTTGTGTTCGCACGGTATGACTGTACGGAAGTGAGTCCTGGCCGCTTAGTGTGGATGACATGCGTAAGCTCTCGGACTTCGACAACACATGTTTGTGGCGGATAGCCTGTGTATGATGGCAGCACCGGGTTGGCAACGATGAAGGCCGGTGTCGCGTCTTTGGAAACATGAGCCCTCCGCTTAATCTCCTCAGGGCGCCGGACATTGTTCTCGGTTTCTTTCGTGTTTGCTTATTCCATTCGTTAGCACCGATTTGCTTGGGAAACATGAGCCCTCTGCTTAAGCGCAGTGCGTCAACTGAGGTGGCTTGGCGACGTTTCACGTATGTCTTGCGAACGCTTATCACACCGCGCTTTATTTTCTCGTACGGGATTAAATTGGAAGAGAACACATGGAAGTCAGCCAATCAAATGGCGGCAAACCATGAAATCGCTGAAACTGTCTCGCAATCGTCGGCCCAGTACGTCTTCCTGGATCGGGGCCCAAGGATGAGGAATGCAATTGGCTTGACACACTTGGCGACATGGCGCGAACTCGGAATCAATGGAAGGACTGTATATTGAAATGTTTTGAACCATGTGATTAGAACTATACCACACAAAATGCCAAAAGAGGAACAAAACGGTGTATGAAAACAGACAAAAAAAATCAAAAAAATATTTGTTATCTATTCCTGACATTTGTACTTTTTGCAATTTTGTTCCTCATGGTTTTTCGATAGCTCAATGTCTATTTATATATTGCTATATACATATATATGTGTGTGTGGGAGAGTCGTTGCTGGAAGAACCACAGCGACATGTATGGCCACGGACAAGTGCGTAACAGAGTACAACAGCACTTAGTGGAATCGATACACAGATAGAAAACGAATTCCTCACAAGTCAGAATTAAGCAAACAAGGTCAAAAATACAAGCCTGAAAGTCAACGAAATACGCCTGCATCCCATGGTCCATGAAAACCTCATAAGCACAATGGGGTAACATTCTTAGTAATAACTAACAGTAATGGGTCGAAAGCATTTCGGCAAAGAAGAGCGGACAAAAACGGCTAAGAAATCAACCAAGAAAAAACAGTTCCTCTATCAGATTATTGAGTGCAAATGAAACCCGCGATGTTTTCGGTAACAAACGTCACCATACATGATAGGTTACTTGAAATGGAATTCAGAAAAGGGAGTTATACCGATTAGGCTAAGGGCTTTTGCGCAAACGAGGCAGCTAAAACACAAGCCTAGTGAATGGCTGGATCATAATGCAGTAACAGTGTGCAGGGCACCTAATCCTACACGTTCGAGGAGCAACACATTTGCCGTTATATGTCATGGGACAGTAGATGTTGTAGCTGCCAGAATTGGTGTACTCGAATAGTGAAAGACACTCTACTGCTAAACAAACGGGTAGTGTAAAATCCTACGCCGTAAAATGAAATAATTCGCAGTGCCAAAACAGATAAGCAACCCCACTATGGACCTTTGGCCGTCAACCGACAGTTGACGGTTGGAATGTGTGTAAGCAATAAATAATTCTGGCGGTACCTTGTAAGCGAATCGAAGCCGGCGTCTATCCTTTGCCGGTACTCCTTCGACTGGAGCACCAAACTTGCTGGCAACGTGACAAGGAGACCCGACAAGAAAGAGTTGCCGAAGTTGGCTGAATTGCAGTGTTGTGGGGCGAGGTAGGACCAAGTCCAAGGATAAACCAAGATCAGGGATATTGGAGTTCACTGCATAAATATCGTTAGCGGAAGAGAGAGGAGGATACAGAATGAATTTAAATATAGGAAGAAACGAAGGAGATGGACTGAGGACTAAAGGCTGTATGAATAACCAGAGAGGCAAATGAAACAAACTTAACAGACTGCATTATTCTGTTAAACCAAAAAAAACGAGCCGATGGCCGGTTACGTGAACGATACCCAAATACAAAATGAAATCGATGCGTCCTATTGAGTAGCGGTGTAAACGAGAACATTACGGAAGTGGGATCCGATGTGTCGACTACTAGCAAACCCAGAAAAAGCACCTAAATCTTATCACATAATAGAAACCGAATTTGACGTGTATACAATGTGTGGAACATCGGTGTTTAACTGATTGCATACAGAATGATGCGTCCAAGCCTATGAACGAAAATAGTTACCGGTATCGGGAGATATACATGAGAAGCCCACTGCAGACATTACTGAATAATCTTATAGACTGTGACCTAGGTACTTCCTGCCACGAAGTGTCCAAAGTACTGTGGTCTCGATAACGGAGTTAAATGTGCCTCCTGCTTCAGCTCAGGTCACAGATCGCGCTAATATTAACAAACGCAAATAGGCTATGTCAATGTGACACTTGAACAAGTATTAAAAATGTAATCAAGTCATCGAAGTCTGTGAGAAGCGGATAAAGGGTCAAGCGCATTGTGGCTCGAACATGAATGCAGACAAGTAACCTGACGCGACGACAGAGTAGTTCGCTTAGTCGACCATGTCAGAGAATCGAGATAGGCTAATTTGTTAGAGCCTTCGTCATTGGGGTAATGATTAACATCGTTAGGGGGAAGGAAAAATTATGACGAAAAGGCTGAAAACTATGTAAAAAGGATTTCGCGAGGGAAGGAAATAGTGATTAAAGTACAAGTGGTTGGTAGAATGGATGACAGTGAGAAGAAAGAGAATAGATGTAACAACGCCAGTAAGTTTTCGATAGCAGCATATCAATTTGATGGGGCTGAGCCTGAGATACCCATCCAGGTAATCAGCATGCACTAGCCTGATCAAGTTGGTTGGTTCAGCTAAGTCTATGGCAGTTGGTCACTTTTGAGTTTGTCCAGAAAGTTACATTGTCGACATAAATTATAAGCAGAGATATTCCGTCTGTAGCTACTAAAAAGGGTGTCCGAACCAGAGAAAGTCGATAAGCACCGGCTGACAGCACGCTGCATTGCTTACACAGTAGTACCACCAAACACTAGGGATACAGCGTAGGCACCGCGATTCAAATAGCGTAAGTCTCTTTATGTCTTCAATGTGCACTAACTGTGACTGATACTGATTACCAATCGTCCAACCGGATAGGGATGGCTTTGTGGTTGCAAGCATGGAACAACCCGTGTAGCACAACGAAATGATAAGGCGAGTCAGCAGTAAGAGTTGTTTAACAAGTATTTGGGACGCTGACAGCGGAATGAAAGAGGTCAAACGAAAGGACTTCGTTAACATAAGGGACACAAACAAAAGATTATATGGCACGAGTGAATAACACAGTAACCAAAAGTCAGCAGAGCATTCAGCAAGATAAGCTAGTGTGTGTGCGTAATTTAGCCAATCAGTGATCATACTATATGCTCATCAGATGCGGACACTGTTATCTCCGATAGGAGTGAGACCAGGGGCAAGTGAATCATCCAGTTGAGTTAAAACAGGTGTATACGAGCAGAATTGAGTGTATAACGAGCTTCTCGCCGTCGGTCAATGAGAATATAGGTTAGAATCCAAAAGGAGAGTATGCGCACCACAGACGGGCCGTGATCGCGTACAGTTACCAGATTGAATACTGAATACTGTATTATAGAGCAAGTAGAAATGGATTCTGTACAACTCTTTCGAGATATGGCGAAAAACGTTATAAAAGTTGTCAACCTTGAATATCATTGTCGTTCTCATGTAATATTTAAAATATGCGACTTACGATATTTCAGGATTCACAAATGTGATGTCATCGTAAGTGTGCAGTCGTTCTCTGAATCGAATAGAGGCAAAATGCAAATCTAACAACGTTTTGAACTGTTGCACAGATGTTGCCTCAATCACATGTTCGGGCAAACTATTCCAAATGTTTACCACTCTCCGTTCGAAGCACAGTGGGTGGGGAACACGTTTCATATCCGGCACAACAAGTTTGTATCTGTGTCCGCGTGTGCTGCATGGCCCTCGTAAGTGCAGCATTGGCCTTAACATGGGGAACTCGCCGAGATGTAGAATTCGGTAGGTCATAATGAGGTCGACTCGCACCCGACGGTAGGACAAGGTGTAGAGTCCTAGTTTCTCGCACCGGTCTTCATACCCAAAGCCAAGTAAACTGGGGATGAGCCTGGTAGCAACGTGTTGGACCCGTTCGATCTTTTGTGCCTCGCCTCGGGTAATCGGAAAGTAGGCGGGCGAACCGTACTCTAGCATTGGTCTAATGATAGAACAGGCGAGTGGCAACCTCTTCAGACCATGTGCAGAAGCTACGTTTGAGCGCCCAAAGCATGCGCAGTCCGTTCCGATATAGGCTGTTCGTGTTGTCCACGGACTTCAAATCGTAGCGTGAGAGTACACCTAGGTCCTTCACGGAGGGTGTGGGATATAACGTTTGGCCGTCAAGGGTGTAGGTTCGGCCGTCTGCACCCTTCCCCAGGCTCATAAATACCGACTTGGCTGGGTTGACCGGGAGAACAACTTCTGCAGACCATGTGGATAAGCGGTTGAGATCTTGCTGAAGTAGGCCACAGTCATCGGGAGCGACGATTTCTCTCCAAATCTTCAGGTCGTCCGCAAACAAGGCACACGGCGACCGGAGAAGTTGCGGTAGATCGTTGATGTGGATCAGGAACAGAGTGGGCCCCAGCACAGTGCCTTGAGGTACGCCACTTGTAGAGGGGTACCAGTCAGTTAGATGGTCGTCGACCTGTACCCTCCACTTTCGTCCAACAAGAAAGTCGCGGATCCACCGGTGCAGTGAGCCACCGACGCCACACATGCTGAGTTTGTGAAGGAGAACCTCATGACTGACCTTGTCGAAGGCTTTACTGAAATCGATGAATATCACGTCGACAGACTTCCCCTTGTTTATTGCCTTCAACCACTCATGCCTCGTCACAAGCAGGTTATTAATGCATGAGCGGCCTTGCATAAAACCGTGCTGTGCGGGCGTCAGGACCTCGTTTGACTGTAGCAACTGCAGCAATCTCTTCTTCACGATTTTCTCAGCAACCTTTGTCAATATAGGTGTCAGACAAATTGGCCTGTAATTGTCTACTTTGCTAGGGTCGCCGCCTTTCGGAATAGGCTTCACCACCGCACATTTCCAGTCAACAAACCTTCGGAGAGCGACCTGTTGAAAAGGTCAGTCACGATAGGAGAGAGGATGGTTGAAAGTGACTTGAGAACCAGTGGGTGAAGCCCATCAGGTCCGGCAGGTTTGGTGCCGTCAAGGTTGGCGAGTAGTTGAGCTACCTCTTCGACGCCACAATGCAGACTATCGAGTTCGGTAAAAGCGGTACACGTCGAACTCGGAACAGACACCTGGTTATTCGCAAATACAGAAGCGAAGTGCGCCGCCAACGCGGACGCACGCTCAGAGCTGGAGGTTAGGGGCTGTCTATCCGTGCCATCCAGCACTGGCACATCACCCGCCGGCTTCAGGCGTCGCTTCACGTATGCAAAGATTCTCTTGGGGGCGGTCTTCGCGGCTAATGCGAGCTGTTCTTCAAAGTGTCGGCGTTTATTCTTTTTTGCACTGTTGCAGAGATTCCGCTGACATTTATACTCTTCGTAATCATTGGCAGAGCCAGAGAGAAGGAATTTGTCCCACAGTCTGCGCCGCCTCCGAGCCAGGTTTCTATACTCCTTGTCAAACCAATGAGGCTTAATCGGTCCAACCTTTCGACATTTCAATGGCACAAATTGGGAACACAATAATGTCAATCTCTCTCTTATAAATATCCAACAATCTTCCACAGATGCAGTTTGTGACAGAGACCAATCCAGTTGGCTCGCGGCTCGAGCAAGACCATCGAAGTCCGTTTTCCAGTAGTTGGGAGCTGGTTGCAGCGGATGTGAATACGGCAAAGATAATTCCATATCAGCTATCAGTACTGAGTGGTCGCTCGTAGCCAGGGGCTCCAGGATCCTAACGTCACGCACTCGTTGTTCGTAGCTCGTTAACATCAGGTCGAGACAAGACGGGGTTGAACGTGTTGATATGCGTGTTGGCTGGCATATGTGTTGCGATGCACCAGTTTCAAGTATCAAATCCACGAACTTTGCTTCAACCTCACAATGTCCAGGCATCAAATGCACATCAGGCCACCGTATTCGAGGACAGTTAAAATCGCCCATAAGCAGAAAGTGTGGACGACTCATGTGGGTCCGAAGATGGGGCAGCCAATCCAAACAACGACTCAGGGGACTGCGATAAACTGCGCCCACAAGCAGTTCTCCGCGCCTGAGGCGGATGGAGCACCACAGTAGCTCACACAGGCCATCGTCACTTCGGTAGGTGCTCACAAGTCGCCCACGCAGGGAAGACCGGATGTAAAGTAAGACACCACCGTGGGCATTCTTTAGTCTATCGCATCGGAAACACGAGTAGCCGTTGAGTTCAAGTTCATGGGTGTATAACTCTGCATGCAGCCATGTCTCTGCGAGTCCCACCACGTCTGGCCGCTCAGACGCAACGAAACAACAAAGCTCATCGCGCTTATTCATAATACTGCAAACGTTTGTGAAGGCTACTCGCAGGCCGCAGCAGGAGCCACCGAGCGTGCTTGAAGTGTGAGCAGCCTGTTTATCCTGATTCGCGGATTGTTGGAAACCACCCGAAAATTTACGATACGAAGATTTGTTTCCCCCGCACCAGTGCGTCTTTTCAGCTCAATGATGGCAGACTTGAGCCGCTCCCTGTCTACTGGGTCCAGGTCGGGACGAACATGGATCTTCAAACCTTTCAGCCTACTTAGGCGAGACATGATAAGTCTTGGACTGGTTTCGTCCACAAAAGTGATTCTCATAGGCCGATTTTGTTGATCACCTTGCTTTCCAAGACGGGTAATCTGCCTCACTTTTACCGAGTCCTCACCAGCGTCGAAGAGTCTATCAATTAGACCCTGTAAAAACTCGACATCGTGATCGTAGCGCACTTGGGGTGATGGATCACTGGACTCCGGTGCGTGAAAGATCACGAGATTATAACGCCTCTGGTCGGACGAGGTTGGCCTTGCAGGGCGAAGTATACTACCAGCCTCAAGTGGTTTGGCTAACTGTTGACTTACAGAACGTAAACGCCCAACGTTCCTTCGTAATTTCGTCCTCTGATCTTTCCACTGGTCTTCAGCACTCAGACTTTCACCTGCTGGGATAAGAATTTTAGCCAATAGGTACATCAGTGTTGTAGGAACTGTTCTGTATGTTGTGAGAATGGCAGACTGAAGCTACCAACGTAGTCCTAGCTTCAAAACGTGACAGCCACATCGGATAAAAGGCGACGCGAGTGGCAATCCGAATGGTCACAGCATTCCCAACGAAATAAACTGCGAATCAACATACAGTAGCACAATCATTAGGGTGCAGGACTACTTTGGTTGAGCTGCCTCCAAACACGCATTACAGTCACACGCGGAAAAAGTTATATGGAACAGTGGTTGAACAGATCTACAACGCGCACAATAAAGGCGAGATCAAATGAAACCCGGGGCAACGAAACATTTGCCCGAATGTGTCACAGTGTAAGTGTGGATGTGAGTAAAGGAGCAAACCAGCTAACAATGCAGTCGGAGCGCACAGGAAATGGTGGTAGATGGGATACGTGGAAATTCGACAGCATAACAGCCGATGCATCAAGATGTAAACTAGTATCGGAACATAACGGACAGAGAAAGGAGTCAACCGTGAATATATATCTTGCGGACTAGGATTGAGCGACGTTTAAATTTCAGACGAAGAAAAACAGCTGGCGGATAACTCCGAAACCATACAATCAGCTAGTTCCAAAGTATACGTGTACCATGAGAACAGCAGATGTCGTTGCGAGATATATCGTATGACAGACCCTTAATACCTGCTTTGGACAAAGACGAAGTGAACCAGAAACAGAAAAGGGGACACGCGAACGATATCGGATGTTCCACTGAAATTCGCTGTTTTGAAACCGATGAGCAAGATAGGGAAACCCGGCGAGCTGGTGAAACCAAACCCTAAGAGTATGGATGGTTACTAATTAGTTAAGATATACTGGAAACCCTGTGAGATGCAGAGGTTGTAGAGGAAACGCAAACGGAGAAAAAGTTTGCAACCGAAGGAGTGATAAAGCAGCTCGATTGGGTACCATGAGGTCGGCGGAAAGGAGGGATATTGATCGTAGACATGTGTTCATAGTGTGGAGTGACGAGATGTAACTTGGCCTGGAGAGTGTAGTAATGCCAGTACAAGTGTCCGAGCACAGAAAACCTTGAAGATAGCTTGCGTGTCTGGCTCTTCTCAAAACAGCAAATCATGTTAGCTTTAAGAGTAGCTTTATAATGATGTAAACTGTATGCGCCAGGTAGATAGTTTGAAACACTCTTTGTGTAAGTGGATTGTGATACGTAATCTCAGCCGAGAATGCAATCTACTATGCAGTGAAGTTCAATCAACTCGGTCGTTAGGGGCTTATATGAAGTAGATACCCTAGGATGTTTTTCGCTAGCAACACCACACTCCACGATGGGTTTTGTTCTACCTCGCACTCGTCAAGCAGTTAGCAGAATTGAGACCCAAGAGAATCAATCGTGGGGCGCAGTGTTCCGAATGAACAACGCTCAATACTCATCTTTATGCACAAGCCTTGTGAAGCTACAAATATTACACACAAGAAAAGTGATGTACTCAATAACAATCGTTTGATTTGCCTATCTCAACAAAATGGGTGAACATCCTTAAGCATTAGTGATGAGTCAATCGCTTGCTCACGGAACAAGTGGCTACACAGTCCACATCAGTCCTGAAGGCAAGGCCCAACAAGTACAATCCTGCTATGGAAGGTTTTCGGTGTTGCTTCCTCTAAGTAGTAGCGAAGAAAGCAATACCTAAAACTCACTAAATCGGATGCGATCCTAGTGACGGTTGCCTAATTCAATTGCTCATTTGTTCTCCGACAATTTGGCTGCAAACGTTTCACCACCATGCATGTGCCGTCATCAGCGCAGTGAGATGCAGCGCGCAATCTTGCTGAATGAATCGTCGATCAGTGATCGACGTGCAGGTGGCTTTTGAAAGTGACAGCTTTGATTCAATCAGCAAAATAGTGTGCTGCATCCCATTGCACTGACGATGCAACCAAGCATGGTGGCAAAACTTCTGCAACCAAACTGCCAAGCTCGGAGAACAAATGAACAACTGAATCGTCAACCCGAGCTACCAGTGTTCGGAAAGAATTTAAACGGTTGCCTCAATTGGATTGCGTGTTGCAAGCCATGTAGACAATAAATATTCCATAAGCTAACAATGCACAACCGCGTTAGTTCTGCGCTTCACTGCTCTAGTGCTCATACGAAATACAGAGCGGAGAGTGGATAAGCACTGGTTAAAATTGAATTATGGGCCGACATCGACTTTATTCACACAACTAGCTAAATTCGGAAACTTACGTATATCCGTCAGTTGTCGACGTAACTGACGAATTTCTTTGTAGGCGTTCCATCGGACACCACATCGTTTCACCAGAAATCGAAGCGCGCCATCAGGATCACGAGAAACCTGTTTAGCGCCACCACAGGCCTCCAACACCCTGGGTTCAGGTGGAGTCAATCCGAGCAGCTGGGCGTTGTATCGCTCCAGGCAACATACAGTGCCCAAAAGCACCGCAAGATCGCCTAAGTACAGGTCACCTCGCTGGTAGGATAGAGGAAACGAGTCATTGGACAGATCAAAACTAATATGATTCTGGACAGCATAAAAATTGAGTTCCACAAACCTTTCCAACAAACTGCTGCACGAATTTGGAATGATAATCGCCCACCGCGGAGGTACCCAAATCCCGCCCAGCGAATAGCTCTGCGCCGGTAGATGGGTCTGACTCAGTGGTGCCTCGAGGCAGGAACAAATTTGGAACCGAGAGTGCGGCCACCAAAATAACGGCGTATGGCATCAACTGCTGTTGATTAGCGAACAACAACATCCGCGCAAATCTGGTTGGCAGAGGAAGATGTGACATCCAACGTCCGGCACGTGTGATGGTGCGGAATGTGTCTCGGAAAATGGAGAAAAGTTAAAAGACTGCGGACACCGCGTGCAAGCAAAGGTGACTAAAGCATGTCGCGACGAAATGAAAAAGAACAAGAGATGCCCAACTGCAGTGTAGGAGGATGGCTTACAGAATCGACAAGGCGATTGAGTCTGCTATCAAGTCAAATACAAAAACAAGCAGCAGTTTTAAAAAGACACAGGAGCCGATGTGTTGAATTTTCTGCTGCCCATTAAGGTCGGTGGCATTCTTGTTAATTGGAAAAAGTTCGATCAAAAATGAAACTGGGTCGTAAGGCTGAGATGAAAAATGTGACTACGCAACTACTCCACTGCAAAGTGCATAAGCCGCCGCGAACAATTTAGTTCAGTTGATGAACGATGAACGGAGAGCTTGAGAGGTAGATGCAGTTGCGAAAACTCAAGTCCGTTGGGCAACGAAGATCAACAGAAATGGAAGGAGAAAGGTTCACCGAAGGGAGTGGAATAAGTAACTATTACCAAGTGGAAGGTTTAACAACTACAAGCTTAGCACCAAAAGTAAGTAAAATGCACACTGTGTTCGACAGTGTCGTGATCGAGATCCAGACTTTCAGACAGAAAAGCCACAATAACTGACCTTTTCCAGTTTTTTATATTAGGTTACCATCTAATCGTTCTAATGCGCCCGTCGACGAATGGGGAAATGTGCAAAATCCACGCTTCTAAACACACGATCGCAAGGTATGCAAAGTATCTGACCTGGCCAGTGTACGAATCATGTTTCGTAGACGGCGTAATCAGAAGCAAGGAACGCCAGATCCCAAACAGTAACTGGTCAATTTCAGTATTACACATGGAAAACTAGCAGAGTATTCTACGACTATACCGTTCCAAGTACTTAAACGCGCAATGATTATATTCTCAACCTGCGTAATACTTGTCGAAAAGTACCGTCCTGTTTAAATCGGTAGGACAAATAACTCACCTTGTCCGCCTATAGACATGGCTTCGTAGAATCCGCAGAGTATTGCTGACTGCAGCGGTCATTTCGAAGCACTCGTGTGGATGGATTTCGGCGTTCAATCACACTGTGCACCATGATCCGAATCAAAGCAAACTTTTGTCAGTTCTATCATTGAAACCGTAAGTGATAAAACAAACAAGTAGGTATTAGGTATAGTCCGTGCGAAAACAGTGCACTTCACGACTGATTTCGATCCCATCAAGCAGAGATAACAGGAACTGGAACCCGCGGCGCGCGTGTCCGGTGCTTTTCCGGATTGGTAGCTTATCTATGCGGCTTGGAATCTAATTGCGATCAACCAAAACGAATCATACCCAAATCCGTTACTCATTAGTAATGCAAAAAGGAAAAGGTTAGTTTTGATGAAACCAACTGCGGTGATGAACTTAATGACGAACCACCCACATATACGAGGTCGAAAGAGTCCCAATATTCACACATGAGCAGCAAACGGTTCAGCGGTTAAAAACGAAAGTGGCTAACTAAAATAACGACAATCCTCAGCATATCAGAGGTCCTGGTAGGTCGACTGAGAAGGGGAAAAGAAAAAACTATCAAAAAACTAACAAAAAGAAAAGGTAGTCCGGAACTAAACTGACTCAACTCTCTCGAGAACTGGTGAGCCAGGGTTATAAGTAAGGAGGCACAGCCGACTAAACTAGCATGTTGATGACTCTCACGCCCATTTGGCATTGGCGATAAGCATGGGAATGAAAAGGCTAAAAAGCGCGAGATGATTTCAGGCAAAAAAGGCCAACAGCAACTCGGTAGGATAGCAGAAAACTGCGCCGAATCTTCAGTGTGAGAACTCGAGTTATGAATCAGCACTTTATATTCCGACAGTCGACCTGTTAGTTATGGAGTAAAACACGTAAAATTTGGACTGGATACACAAAATGGAGATATGACCGCTTATGGTTTCTTGAAAATAGGATAATTATCCCATTCCGCACGCTAGCTAGAGGTGAGAAACAACCGTTATTATCAAGTGAAGTCAACAATGTGCTTTGTGCACCAGTGAAAAGCCAGCCACAACACAACACACGCGCCAATGGCAAATAAAATAAGTGAAAACCGGATGTGGCGTGTCAGCAATTTGAAAACACGACACAAGTGATGTCATCAAGCCAGTTTAGCAATCGGCTTCTATCTGACTAAAAATGATCCCACAAAAAAGTGATAAATGGGGAACAACTGACGTGTTACTAGCCCGTGTGTGAGCATTAATGGCGTTGCAAGTTGGTCTCCTCGAGGAAATTGAGATACATTCCGACAATGCACTATGGAGATGGTGGCAGGCATCAGTGGGTATTTCGGACGCCAGTTTTTCGCAGGCATGAACATTAAATACAGTGATGTTAGTAAAATGCAACATTGAAGTGTCGCTAGACTGAGCAACATGCTTCAGTGAGCTGTTTGTCACATTGAAATCGCTGTTTGAAAGGCCAGGAAAAGTCGCAGGGCGATAAAGTACGCGGTGACAAGCCGTAAGATCAAATATAGACGCAGGTGTGAAAGCTTAAATCGAGCTTAATTCAAAGGTTATCCTCTTGACCTTAATGAATGCTTCGTTCAGGTGACTGGACCACATGAGATCGCGACTCAGTGTGAGCCCTGGATACACCACTTTTCATGGACGTTGTGCAAATCAAACTAGACACTGTTTGATTTGAGCATAAAATCAGCAAATTGTTAGCTAGAAATGAGGAATAACGCGACTGGATGATGTTGAGACCATACTGCAGTCAGGGTAATGTAACCGAAATTGTGCAGGCAGCAGTGCAAACCCCTCTCTTGATCACGATCGTCATTCTCCGCGATCAAAGATGATGACCCAGTTTTCCCCTGTCTCCATATCGGCCTCGTGTATTGTGTGTGTGAACCTGTGCAGTTGCGCGACCATTAGAATTGTAAAGGCTGCAATGACTGCACCAAATCTCCTATGGTCTAAGTTGCCTACTAGTGCACGAACCACCTATAATGAGCGACGAACACGGATTTCCGAGACAGCGACGGTGCAAGCGAACGTGATTGACGCATAAAGGGATCCTTACTAAGCACGTGCTTCCCGAATGAAAAACCACTCGCGAAGCTGCTGACGTCGCTGATGTCAACGAGAGCATGAGCAGAAACATCATCAATGCCTACAAGTGAGAAGGAATCAGTACTTAACTCAACTGTGTAAGAAACAACAGAGAGAAGCTAATTTCCGATGTCCGACAGTGCATTAACAACGCCGCCGAACGGAATTCGGAGGACGCTTTGTTGCAATACGACAGGGGCTGAAAGCGACTGGGATCCACTTTATCGTATCTACAGTCTTCAACGCTGAGCTGCGTGGAAGTAGGGCTGTGCTAAGACCTAACAGCCAGGGCACGTCTGTCTGAGTAAACTCACTCTGGGTGCGTTTCCCGCCGAAGACTTTGACTGAGGATCCAGGTCACTCTCTTGTTCAGGTGTGGATGCCATGGTGTAAATTCAGTCAAATTAAAAAAGGAAATGTACCACACTACAGACCTTACCATTTAGCACCGGTCTTTATGCAGATTGGCGAGAGTCGCCTTATCTGACGCGTACATCTGGCTGGATAAGCGAAAACATGCCACCGCTGGGACATCACTTCTTTATACCTCCCCTACCCCTCTACATTCGCTCATCCCACTCCCCATTACCACTAAGTAACCATATCTACGACAATCCCAATCCAGACTCCCCATCCATTGACACACCTCAGTGATCGCGCGGTGCAATCGCATGCTTACGCGCAAAGCGTTCAAGATCGGGCGTTGGAATTTGCGCACATTACTGGACCGGAACATGAATGAGTGCTCACCGCAACGCACTGCACCGATAAACATAGAACTTTGATACTGAAGCACTCAGTGGGATTCGGCTGGCTGACTAGAGCAAATTGTACGAGGAGGGAACGTTGACACATTTGCAATATCCGGATTTGCAATATCCGACAGACTGAGTGAACACCTGACGGAAGTCGACTGGCTTAAGCCCACAATTGACGACAGTCCACTTGTGCATCGGACAGTGGCCGTCTCGAAAACCACAACTGTAGGCGACGATACGAAGCCTAGGCTAAGCACGTCATGCGGAAGGTAAACTGTGGAGAAGCAAGTCTAGACATTACGCAAGGTCCAGGAAGAGGAAATAAAACGTAAATGCAAATAATCATAATTCTATATATTTATTCTATGTAATTCTATAATGTTAATAACAAGAATAGGTTTGTAATTGTAATGAAAAAGAGCGAACAATGTGCGGAAACGCTAAAATAAAACAGTTCGCTAACTGACGACCTGCTTCTAATTCGTAGCGTCAAGGATATGTTAATGGTGAAAAGTAAAAAAGCTAATGGTGTATGGATGCGAATTTTCAAGGCATATATGTGTAAAGCTGCATGGGAATGGTGAAGAGGTTCGGAAATCATCATCACCATCATACACGTTAGCTAGAGCTGGGGAACACCTCAGCTACTGTGCCGCAATACATAGAAAAAGGAGAGAAAAAAAAACAATTGGCGCAAGACGGCTGAGCTACTGGTAACGGATGGGCACCGTTCCGGTAAGCTACAAGCACATAATATTTCCTATGAAATATTATATAAGGTTAAATAGTGAGATCGTGGTTGGAGAGGGAGGCTAACAGGGATGGGGTAGGACAAAGAAACTCACAGCACGAACGCCACTGAGGTCGGCTCCTAGCCACATCAGAAAGTGCGTCCAACCAAACGTGTTCATCGTCTTGTGGACCCCAACCAGGGAGCAGAGACGCTCCAACCGAGGCAAGCTTCGAAGTGAGGGCCCTCATTCCTCTCGACCAAGTCATCGCTTGGCCACCCCTCCTCTTCTTCCATTCACACCCCTGGCGCGCAAACAACACACATCGCCATAGTCGGTGGACTGACATGCGAAACACGAGGCAGTGCCATCGGGGCTGGTGCATGAAATAACGGTGAATGTCCTTTTCCTGCGCCGTAAACAAGGCGTCGAACACACTCGTTGCTCACGCGGTGTTCCCACCATATGTGAGCTAAACTACGAAGGCACCGGTGGTCGAACGTTACTAGTCTCCTTATGTCCGTTGATCTAAGGGGCCAGTTTTCACATCCATACAGTATGGTCGAACGTACCGCTGCATTGTACACTCTACCCATTAGGGCTAGAGTGATGTCGCGCAGCCGCCATAAGCGGCGAAGGTTAGCAAAAGCGCCCCGAGCTTTTCCTATACGGTTCGTGATCTCATCTTCAATCCCATGGGTTCCGATACAACTTTCCAGGTAGTTAAATTTTTGAACAACTTCTAGCTGATCCCCACTAACGGTCAGCGAAAGAGGCGGTCCAGGCCGATCTTGGAGGGACGCTTTGCACTTCGAGGGTGCGAAGTAGAGCCCGAAGTGACGGAAAGCCAGTGCTAATCTGTCCACTGCCGCTTGGCATGTTTGTGAGTTGTCACAGATGAGGGCAATATCATCAGCATACTCTAAGTCAAGAAGTCGTTCTCCTGGGAGCAGATCCACACCTTCTAAGTCGTGTCCTGTGAACGCGATTTCCATGACTTCGTCAACAGCGAAGTTAAAGAGGAAAGGTGAGTGCGGGCATCACACCGCTGGAGATATTAAAGGTCGAGTACAACTTGCCGTAAGCCCCCACTCTGTCCTTGCTACGCGCATGTAATGCTCGGATAATATTTACATTTTTCTCAGGTGCACCTTTCCTGAGTAGACAGTCCAAAAGTGCAAGTCTATCCACCGAATCCAATGCACCTTTGATATCAAGGAACACGACAATGGTGGGCCCCTACTACATGTGACGGTGCTCCAACAACTGAGGCAAGATGAAGATGTGGTCAATGCAGCCACGACCACGAGGAAACCCGGCTTGCTCTTCACGAATATGGCTTTCACAAGTGCCAGTCAGTCTGTGAAGGATGATAGAGACAAGCAATTTAGAGGCGATGGAGATCAGAGGTTCGGGAATAGGGGCACTTAAGTGGGCCATATAATTTGGGGAAGACATCAAAGTTTCATTTGGACTTCAGAGCACCATTGGTGGCTTACTGAACACTCATCGTTTCGGGGCTGGAAGCCTAGCACGCGTGACAAAAATTGGGATGCGTCTGCTTGTTGACGACTGTACCTTGTCTGCACACAACAAGGATGAGTTTTAAGGTATGCTGACGGCTTACGCTTTAAAGACGGTCAGATTCGGAACTACCATCACCACAGATAAGTTTGTTACTTCAGGCGTACCGAAGAATGACGTCCGAATGCCAATGAATTCTCACAAATCTCATCAGACCCGCAGATGGCCTATGAGCTACGCACCCATGTATTAAAGAAGAGGGAAGCAAGATAAAGCATATGGTGTGTAAAAATCACTAGGTGACTTATATGACCAATTCGATAGTGAACAAACAAACGGTAATGTCAGCAATGCTACATGGCAGAGAAGGGTGGACAATATTAAAGAACGCCACACAGATGCGTGGGATGGTTTCGTTAGCAATGACTGACAGGTTGTTGTATCCGTTGACACAAGTTATCCGCCGCGGTGGTGTGCATGGAATGGACTGTATGCCTCCAGCACGATACTTCAGATGGCCCGGACATGTCTGTTGTGTGCAGGTAAGCAGAATGTAGACAAACCGAAGCTATGCTCTCAGACATGGTCAAGGTGAATTTGTCACAGACAAATGTTTGCCTTACGTGCTGGGAACAGATGGTGGTGGATCGCCGTCAATGCCATGATAATACCAAAAGTACCGGTCACGCAAGCGTCAGGTGACGACGACGCCCATCGGCATCATAAACTTGATGCTGCAGCACACAAATGGTCGTCTTACGTGGCGATTTCTTAATGACCGATAAGCACCTGAAGCCAAACGGAAATTACCAGTAAATCTGGATATCAGCTTGGAGCATAGATGAAGACAAGTAGCGGAAATGTGCAGAGCCATCGTGATTGGTGCCGCTGAAGGCTGCGATGGAATTTGAGTGACAGTTTTCTAGATGATTTTAGACTGGAAGCAGTAACAATCAGTGAAAGCAGCGTCTCGAGGAAATCGCCAAGTATAAAGCAAGTAATGAGGGTGGGGAGATAAAATGAGCAATAAGCTACTTTTCCTTACCACCACTAGCGTCCCCAGATAACTCTTCCAAGGCACCCAAAGCGACAAGCCGACGTTCAGCATATTCTATCGCTGGGAATGAGGGGGGAGTAGGCAGCGGAAATCGAGACAGAGGAGTGCTCCCCAGATATGACTGAAATGGGAGAAAGAACACAGTAAAAACGGTTTATTCTGACGAAATTGCAAATTCGCCGGTCAGAAACAGTTGGCGATTCATTCCTACGTGCCGGAGGTACAACGTAAAATCAAATAAGGGAATGAAACAACAAGAGCGAAAGTGAATTTCCCCGACCAAGTGATGCGATGGAAGAGAAGTTGTTCGGTGAGTGAGATTTAAGCATTCATGAGGATAAAGACAAATCTAAACCTCCGTGAAATGTGAATGTGTTTCAGAGAGCAAACGTTAATCGCGAAATTATGGTGCTCAAATGTACGTATCAACAGAACGGACTACGCAGCTGATGAACAAATTGCTCACACTGTACGACAACCCATCTCCAATATCTTGGAATAAATTTTGACCCAAGTAGGATATCATAATTTCCAAAGTTTTAGAACACAAATCCTAAGGAAAACAGATTTGTACTCTAAAACTTTCGCAATTATGGCAACGCATTTTCCTTGTCCCCCATGCCCCCAATGCAAGCCTTCCGACGGAACAACTGAAGGATAGACGAGTGGCACAAGGCCCGATGAATCTGACCACAAGCTCCTAATCCGCAGAATAAAAAGAGAAACAGGAACTACATGGAACATGGGAGAACAATGGCACATGATGTTCTCCACTCTGCTGTAGATCACCCACCGGTCACTGCAACTCGCTAAACAAGGACGCACAGCGACTACTCGATGACATGGAAAAAGGCAAAGGTCAAGTCGGGTTTGCCGATTGATGGCTTCGTGAGTAGATGGCTATGGAATTGGCTGCATCAGCTGCTGCAGATCCGAATATAAAGCAAATGATGTTCCGGCTCTTGGTCAACCTGGTTCAATCCGGTTCTTGGCAACCTGGCCATCTAACGAGTCTAGCCATTTTATACTTCGTTCTGAACGACCCTTTAGTTTCACCCAAACTTCTTTTCCGTCGTTTTTGCTTTTCCATCAGGGCAACGTGAGTTAAGGCAAAGGTGGTTCAACAATCCGGTGCTGGAATTGCCGATCATAAAAAACCATCGGAGTGCAGCAACGAAGAGGCCTATGGTTCTCTTACACTTCATTTCCTTTTAAGAGTTGTCGACCATTCCGGTGCGATACTCCGCTCCTTATACGTGTGTTGTGTTCCCGTCCGCACCGCAAAAACATAAGTTAATGGCAGCAACTTGTTTAACAGCTCACAGAAGGTAACTCGCCAAAGCACAATGTAAAAAGTGGTATCTTTCGATTGGATGAGATCATTCCAGCGCTCCTACCACGGATCCCAACAGCTGACGTCTCCAGTAATAGAACATGATTAGATTTGATGACAATTTTCAGAGTAGAATATCCAACTAGCTCCAGCTTCACAGTCTGTTAATTTTCCCTGGTACAACTTGATCGGATCTTTGCTGTCGTACGCTTATTCTCCAGTAACTAGCAAGCCTTTCGGTGCTTATTTTGGCAATATGATTCACCGCAATTCTAGAAAAAAATTGGATTTACGTGTTGGAGTGACAAAATGACAAAGATGAGATTGGCCGCTAAATATGCGAGGTTAATGTGGAAAGTGTGGTCGGTATCACTCGTGTCCAGCGTCGTTCGCCACAACAAATATATAAATCACGCGAACCCGTAGTGCTTTTAATCGGTGGAACAGTAACATTGGATAAAACCCTTATTATGCGCAGGATTAAACGAACGACACACGAAACTACGTGGCTGGGGAGGAAATGTGTGTAAAACGCGCACTACAGATCCAATAACACGGATTGATGGATAAGCAGTTCAAAAGTGGTAAAATCGATACAGAGTCGTTACACCGACAGACTGTGAGCGAGAAGAGGAGAGCAAACGGCACCAGCGACTACCATACATGATGCGAAGAGCCTGTGGTTGGGTAATTTTCGGGAAAAGCGACAACGAAGTATGTCTGTCCATTGCAGAATTTGTACACAAAACGATAGGCACAATAGCAGAAGAAACAGTAAGACCTCTGTAATTTGACAACTTAAGGGATTGGGCCAAAGTACAGGTTTGGATGCGTATGGCTTACATGGTGAATGAAAAAATCTACGGTCAATTTTGGATTTACTGTACGTGATGACATGATTAAAACATGGGGACCCTACCAGCCGCATACCTCGCAATCAGTGCAAATGTGGGGGAATAACTAGAGGCTAAATGGACAATTTGATCAAACATGGATTGTGATCCGGAAGGAGCCGACTGCTTGTTGCAAGTCTGATGCACAAACGCGACGACAGAGGTCCGCACGACCTCCAAAAGTTATCAGCAGATTGTACTATGATAAGTACAAAATTGTGGTACCCACGAAACACTGCACATGGCTAAGACGGTAGAGCTGAATTATTACAGGTAGTGAATATAAGAGCTCCTGGAGCCGCAAAGGCTGGTGCGCTAAGTTGGAACCGCCTACACAACTTGGATAACGTTTTTCGCGTAACAACCAAACGCCAATGATATCGTGCATTAGTTGCCGCAGTTGTGATCGATCGGGTGAAGCCACAGGATGTCCTGGTGATGAGATGACCGAAACAAACGAGGAATCTGGCCGCAAGAGTAGGTTGTACTGGTGCTCAGCATCGTTTTTGAGGATGATTTCTGAGTGGGGAAAAGTAGTAATCATTGAGTAACTCTGATATAGAAAAATCGAGTTTCTGCATAAAATCAAAAAGAAACAAATTAACTGAGCTGATTTTGTTTTAACAATAGATGCTACACTTATTAGTCGTCACCAGAACACAAACAGCTCCATTTGGTAAACAGAGCAACTGCGAAGTGGGGTGAAGAGGTTTCCAAAGTCCGTAGGTTCCCTGTCCATCGGCTATTAAAAGTTGTTCTATAGTGTCAACTAGCGAATGAATGAGTGTACAAAAACGGTTATACGAATTCGAGAAAGGTAGGGTAGAAGACTCACTTTCAACATGAGTACAACTTCGTCAATTGGCTTCGTTAGCAGTTCTGGTACAGTGAACCGGTCCATACTTGAGAAGACCTGTGAGCTGTACAGACGATAGCAATGGCCTGGTGCGACACGCCCGGCTCGACCGGAGCGCTGTTCCGCGGAGGCCTGGCTGATCCAGACGATTTGAAAGGTGGACGCACCGGTGGCCGCGTCGTAAACCTTAGTTTTAACCTAAAAGAGGGGGCAAAGATCTGTGACGTGGAAAGGTAGATTCGCGGTAGCCACACATTCATAAAAGCACTGACGATGAACGTTTCCAAGAAAGCGCGCATACATTTGACCGATGAAACGTAGCTTGTGAAACATCAGCGCAAGTCGCTGGATCGCAGGTGCCGGAAAACGTCGATTTGACTAATTCCCAATCAATGACATGCGGCGGAGGAGAGTGACCTCCGGAAATCAATGATCATAAAGAATCGCCTATGCTTATTATGATGTTATAAGCTAGGTTGAGTAAATGTAGCATAAAGTTTAAAAAGAATCCGTACAGATAAATCATTTAGATCCATTTCAAAGACCGCGTCCAAGTGGAACCTCAGAATGATCATGTCTAAATAACATTGCATAGGAGCTACTCAATGAGAGCAGTCAGGATGAGCCCAGGATTGCTGTTTGCTTAGTAAACTAGCTGGAGAAATGCTAACGACAAGTAAACCTGAACTTCTTAGGAAAACATTGACGATAATCGAAGTGGCTGTTCTCATATCATAAAAGGCTGGCAGAATGACAAACTGCAACAGCTGTGTTCGGTAACCGGCTAGGTTAAAAAGGACACAGCATAATGAACACCCGCAAGTCAATATCATATGATACACACATTGGCCAGGGCTGAAATATTTCACTTATTGCGTCGCGACACAACTCACGCTGGCACATGAAGGACGAGATCATGGTTGGTATCTGAAGCTAAAGGAGAGGGAAGAAGAAACTCACAAGGCAAATGAAGTGAGGTCTTCGCCAAACATGCTCGCCACAGTTTTGAGACCCCGGTCGGGGATTCATGAGGGGTCAAGGAAGGAATATTCGAGGTGAGAGATAACCTTATTGACCAAATTGGTCTCACACCCCTATATCCCCCCACACAACGACAGCGCAAAGGACATACGTCGCGAGATTCGGTGTGCTGGCATCCACAACGCATGGCTCAACAGCCTGAACCCGATACGTGAAACATTGGCTCTGAACAGTTCACTTGTTCTCTCTGCGTCAATAAACAAAGCGGAGAACACGCTCTTTGCTCGAACGGTGTTTGCACTAGATGTGAGCTCAACTGCGAAAGCCCAAGCAGTCGAATTCACTTCGAAAATTTAAACCAATCGATATGATGGGCCCGATCTCACAATCGTAAAGAAAGGTCAAACGGACGGTAGCGCAGTGGACCCTAGCGCACAGTGTGATGGCGCACTGACATCATAAATATCGAAGATTGGCGAAAGTGTCGCGATATTTTAGTAGATGGTTCGCTACCTCATCCTCTATCCTACAGGCGCTGATAAAGTGTTCGGGTAGTTAAATTGCTGAACGATTTCTAGCTGATCCCCGTCATCGCAATGAGGCGGGACCTTATCGTGGTGTGCCTCAGCCATCCATCGAACTATGCTGGGTGGTGCTTTTTGGCACCTTCAGAGCCACTCATACCAGATTGGTCAATGGTTAGAGGCCAGACAAACTCAGCCTCATAGTCCTCCAGGTTAAGGGGTTGGAATGGGGCTGGCTCCTTATTCCTTAAAACGGACTAATTGTAGCCCAACGCCAAACCCGCTGCCTTGAGGTTAGGTTTTTGAATAAAAGGCTGATAAATCTAATCGTTCTCTTGTCTAGGTTTGGGCAACCTGACAGTTTCCTGCCCAAGCAAGACTATGGATCTTCAATTAAACAATTTCTAACTGCTCTGGTCACTGCAGAGGATAATCAACGGTGCCCTAACTGCTGTATCGAGCAGGGTGGATAGCGGTTTGAATGCTACTGCTCAAGCATTCCCATTTTCTTATGCTTTTTCACTCTTACCGTCCAGTTCCGGCTTCACTTTTATCCCCTCTGTTTACAACCGCCAATTATCGGCCCTCTCCCACCTTGCTTTCATTGGCTTTTACATTTAATTTCAACTCACATGTGGACGCGGTGCGTCATTACTGTCCTGTGGACAAGCCCATGTCCAACCAAGCGGCCAAGCCCAGTTTCATCGGTTTTCATTTGCAGCCCTCGATCATCATTCAGACTGGTATGTCTCAATGTACGCACATTGCTTCAAATCGGTCAACATACATCACTTGCCCGAAAATTAGAGACCCTCTCGATCGATATCTGCTGCTTATCGGAGACCCGCCTGCAAGACTCGAGCTCTGTGCTCACTTTGCGATCCCCTTCAGGTGACACCAGCAGGACTTTCTCATCGAGCATATCCGGTGACGATGCAGCTTCGAGCACAGCCGAAGCCGGTGTTGGTATTGCCCTGAGTCACCGGGCTGAAGCTGCTCTGGTTGATTGCATTTCAATGAGTAGCCGGTTGTGTGCGGTCCGATTGGCTGGCTGGTTCAAAGCTTCGAATACGCACGGGACTAACAGGTGTCTATTCGTCATCGCTGCCAATGCATCCACAAACACTAGCGATGATTCGGTAAAAGACGATTTCTATCGCTAACTGAACGAGCTCCTTCGCCCCAGAAGAAGCACGGACACTGTTGTGTTGACTGGGGATCTGAACGCTCAAGTTAGGAAATTATCCACTGATGGACCGAATCTGGGCTCTCGTAATGATAACGGTGAGCGGTTACTTCATTTGTGTGAAGAGCACTAACATCTGACACAGCACCCGCCGGAGGGTGACTTGGTGCCCACCAGCCTCGAACCAGCTATGGACGCAAATCGATCACATTGCGATAAGTTACCGATGGATAGGCTGCGTCCAGAACTGTCGCTCGATTTGGAGCACTTGGGTGGATATCGACCATGCACTTGTATGTGCTGACCTGCGGATGTGTTTGGCGGAGGCCCAAGACGATGCTGTGAGCGCACTGACATCAGCAAACTGGCGAAGCCTGCTGTTCTGAAAGCCTATCAAAGTACGCTGTCATGCGAGTTGAGTAAGCGCTCACTGAATGCAATTGAAGCTCACTGGTCTCATATGCAACAGGCCTTACTAGCAGCAGGAGAATCCTCATGTAGTGAGTCTAATTGCCAACATGGACATTTGGACTCTTCGCAGTCTCTGGAACTTATCGATGCTGGCCGGCATATTCCGGCTGGAAGCGAACACAATGAAATTTGCAAAGAGCTCTGGGCAAAACTCTGTGCTAGCCTGAAGAGAGGCCGCGAATGCTGGTGGTCTCATCGTGCATCAGAGATGGAAATGGCCGCTGCCCTTGGTAACCATCGTAAGTTATTCCGTCTGATACGGGAAATGGGCAGCAGAAGACTTGGACTTATTGAAACTATACGTGAAGAGAGTGGACAACCTATCCACAACTAGTCAAAACGCTTGGAGCGTTGGGCTGAGCACTTTGAAAGGCAATTTAGTCGGTCGAAATTAATAGATTTCTCGCCGGCTATTGATCACTCCGCTCCGTGGACTGTCCCTTTGGATCCACCCTCTCGCTCAGAATTCGAACGTGAGATTCCACCGCTGAAGTTAAATAAAGCCGCATGATGAGATGACCTTACTCCAGCCCTCTTCTAATAAGAGGGACCTGCATTTGGGGATGATTCACACGTGTTACCAATGAAACTGTGGGAGCAGCAAACAGTCCCAACCGACTAGAGCCGCTCCGATATAGTACCAATTTTCAAAGCAGGCTCATGATCGGAATGCGGCAACCATAAAAATTAGTCTGGTCTCCATCGCCTCAAAACTGTTTGCCACTGCCATCTTCACAGACTGACTGGCACTTGTGAAAGCCATATTCGTGAAGAGCAAGCCGGGTTTCCTCGTGGTCGTGGCTGCATTGACCACATCTTCATCTTGCCTCAGTTGTTGGAGCACCGTCACATGTAGTAGGGGCCCACCATTGTCGTGTTCCTTGATATCAAAGGTGCATTGGATTCGGTGGATAGACTTGCACTTTTGGACTGTCTACTCAGGAAAGGTGCACCTGAGAAAAATGTAAATATTATCCGAGCATTACATGCGCGTAGCAAGGACAGAGTGGGGGCTTACGGCAAGTTGTACTCGACCTTTAATATCTCCAGCGGTGTGGTGCCCGCACTCACCTTTCCTCTTTAACTTCGCTGTTGACGAAGTCATGGAAATCGCGTTCACAGGACACGACTTAGAAGGTGTGGATCTGCTCCCAGGAGAACGACTTCTTGACTTAGAGTATGCTGATGATATTGCCCTCATCTGTGACAACTCACAAACATGCCAAGCGGCAGTGGACAGATTAGCACTGGCTTTCCGTCACTTCGGGCTCTACTTCGCACCCTCGAAGTGCAAAGCGTCCCTCCAAGATCGGCCTGGACCGCCTCTTTCGCTGACCGTTAGTGGGGATCAGCTAGAAGTTGTTCAAAAATTTAACTACCTGGAAAGTTGTATCGGAACCCATGGGATTGAAGATGAGATCACGAACCGTATAGGGAAAGCTCGGGGCGCTTTTGCTAACCTTCGCCGCTTATGGCGGCGGCGCGACATCACTCTTGCCCTAAAGGGTAGAGTGTACAATGCAGCGGTACGTTCGACCCTACTGTATGGATGTGAAAACTGGCCCCTTAGATCAACGGACATAAGGAGACTAGTAACGTTCGACCACCGGTGCATTCGTAATTTAGCTCACATATGGTGGGAACACCGCGTGAGCAACGAGTGTGTTCGACGCCTTGTTTACGGCACAGGAAAAGGACATTCACCGTTATTTCATGCACCAGCCCCGATGGCACTGCCTCGTGTTTCGCATGTCAGCCCACCGACTATGGCGATGTGTGTTGTTTGCGCGCCAGGGGTGTGAATGGAAGAAGAGGAGGGGTGGCCAAGCGATGACTTGGTCGAGAGGAATGAAGGCCCTCACTTCGAAGCTGGCCTGGGTTGGAGCGTCTCTGCTCCCTGGTTGGGGTTCACAAGACGATGAACACGTTTGTCTGGGATACACTCGTTGACATGGCTAGAAGCCGGATTCAGTGGTGTTCGTGCTGTGAGTTCGTTTGTTTCCACCCATCCCTCTTAGCTTCCCCCTCCAACCACG